TCGATGAAATAAATATCAAAAAATAACTCGTTCACATTTTTTTTTTCATAGCGAAAGATAGGAAAACCTAAAAATTGGATCTAGGCTCTGATACCATGATAGATTTTAGAGGAAACCTTAGTAGTAGAATAGTTTATCTCAGTTTTATTCATTAGCCAATAGATTTATTTATACAAGATAATAACTTGTTCACCAAGTTCTTTACATTTATGAAATAGGAAATCTAACTTATACACAAATATTAACTTTCTTAATCTTCGATATTGACAATAGTTCTATAATCTCGGTCACTCATCTTGACCGTTCACTCTCGGTCGATCTCGACCTCTCAATCTCCCAATACTTAACAGTGGAATTCCCTGAATGTGATATTTTGGTTAGATTAAATTGTGTTTTGGCCGACGAGGAGAAGAAGAAAATCACTATAATGTGGTGTGAGAAATGTATATTCTACGAGAATTATGCAAAGTCCAAATATTTAATATACATTGCTGGGGAGGATAATAAAGTTACACAAGTGGATTTTGGAGAAGAGACATTCATGGATTATTCATGTTGGCCATTTAATCTTAACTATGTTCCAAGTTTGGTTCGAATCGAGCAGCTAGACCTGGCGGCAAAAGGAAAAAAAGATGACTAAATAAGCTACATATTCAATCTTTTTTTGTGTGTGTTGTTTTTCTTACTTTATCTTGGTATAATGTCCTTTCAATAATCCTTTGGTATCACTAGATGTACTTTCGACTTAGATTTTAATTTCTCTGATCAAATCATGTTTTCTTATAACCTCTTTAACTCAAATCTCAATGCTTCGAAAGAGGAAGAAGACAAGAGATATCGACATCAAAACTTCATTTCAATCGAACATTATAGTTTGCTGAAAACAAGTGAAAAGTAAAACAATATCACTTAACCGAATGATAGCCGGTTTTTGAGCGTCTCTCTAGTTACATATGTACAATCTGTAACATAACAGACCAAAATCCATAGAAATTTACGGTTGACAAGTTAGAGGAACAAAATTAAATTTACATTTTTTATTTGTTTGTATAGAATTACTTCAATTTTTCCACAACTAATCAATCATCTTGCCAAGTAAACCCTAATTCAAAAAATCAACTAATCAATATCTCTCTCGTGTCGTGTGGTTTCGGATTTGTTTTCTGATTATAGAAAAATGTGTATCTATTTAAACCATATTAACGTAGAGTTTGATTTTCAAATTGATTACTTCGGTTTGTTTCAGATCAGATAAGATGGATTTTTATCCGGATTGAACCAACCAAATTGTTGTCTAAACAAGTTGGACATAAAAAGTTAGATACAAGTTTACAGACTTTTAGGCCTATCAGGCTTGATAATGTTCCTCAGCTATGCCATTTATAGGCAGCACCAATTAGATGCAAAATCTGGTTTAACATATTGAAATGGAAGGAAAAACCTATCAATCTGG